GCTCTGCCTCTAGATAGGCAGAGCCAGCTGTCGCTCACGCAGCTGGGCGGATCCCGTCTACGTCGGGATCCGCTCCGGTGTCTCAGTATACCGCGAGCTGTAGCTCGCGGTATACTGAGCTTAGGGTAACGGGAGGACGCTAGTTTGTGTCCTCCCATTACCCTAAGGAGAACTATGGGGACAAACACTGACCCCATAGTTCTCCTTTAACTCCCCTGGAAGCATGCAGTGCTTTGTTATGGCTGAATTAACACCTGAGTTTAGCAGTCAAGGTACTTGCAGCCTAGCTACCTTTATTGTTATGGTTTAAGGCTTTTAAACCGAGGAAAAGCTGATCTGGGAAGCATAAAAGTTGTATATGCTTCCCACATAACTTGTATTCTTTAGTCATATAAGTGATGGCTGCGTTGCCTCATGCCCATAACAAAGATGGCGGAGGAGACACTGGTGACACTACTCAGACTCCAATGACCCACCCACAGAAGTTGGTGTGAAAACGTCACCGCACTTCCGTTCCGTCCTTTTCTCTTTAGTCTGGCTGCCGTGCGGGTAGGTTTGATGTGTGAGCCGGGAGGCCGGTGTGTGATAGAGGGGGAGAGTGGCGTCCTGTGTGTTCGGTGCTCAGTGATCAGCTGAGCTCGCTAGTAGCGACCGGTGGAGATGTGATCCCCGGGGAGGAGGCCGATCATTAGCTAACGCTGGGCGCACACAGGGCCTCATCACCGCACATGGCGCCGGCCTGCTCTCTGCCAGCTCATGCTGCTACTTCATACCGGCTCCAGTCATTGCCGTTTATAGTTTTACCTTCAGGCCTCCACAGCTTGAGGACGATTCCCGTAGATTTCAGAATGATCGACCTCTATTGAACTTATTTCTTACGAGTGTAGCAGTTACTGCATACATAGGTTGCATTGACATTTAAAGGGATAGTTTATCTGTACACCGCCTTTCCTAAAAAAATGTGCAATCCTGGTTGCATTGACATTTAAAGGGATAGTTTATCTGTACACCGCCTTTCCTAAAAAAATGTGCAATCCTGCTTTTTAATATACTACAAAAGCAGTTCTGGGGTTTTACACAAGATGCTTTATTTTCATGGTGTTCTGTCTAGTGTTGGTGACCCTGACAGTGGATGGGCACACAGCCCTATCAGTGCAGGAAGGAGCTATTTGGCTTGTTTAAACCCCATGCAGTGCACTCCTTGTCACACTGCTGAGCTCTGCCACTGCTGTGGTAGAGACATAGTGTGCATGTTGTGAGTGAGCCAGAGCACTCACTGCTGTGCTGATGGAGTTGTGTCCAATGGCCAGCAGGGTCACCCACTGTAGACTGCAAAATTAAGGTCTACCTTCAAACAAATAATTTAATTTTACTTGGGCACTACTTTAAAATACTACAGAAGCTGGAATGCAGCATGTGTTTTTATGCACCTTTGTATATGCACCTATACTGTTGGAGCAGAAGTTTTTATTTATTTTTTAAACTTGGGAGTTAAAGTAGTAAGTTCTGGGCATTTGTTACTTTAATGCACTCTGCATTAAGGTAAAAATGGCCCAGCACCTTTTTTTCTACCCCAGTCTCCCCCACACTTACCTGTCAGCTATGATGTGCCTCTATTAGATTGATGGTGACACCTGTAATGAACTTTTAAAGAAAAAAAAAGCAACAGCCTCCAGCAAAGGAGGGTCTCCTTAAATGAGAATTTTGTTTAAAAAATTGGTTTTAATATCACTTTAAATCTTAAAAATGCATTCAAGTACCTTAACTAATAACAAAAATGTATCTTATTTGTGTATCACTCGGCTGTAGATCCTCAAATCATCTCTGAATTCATACCGACACTGTCCTTCCTTCTGGAGGGTGGCTACTTTTGTTCCCCATGGTCCTTGTGTGTTGTAGAGAAGCCACCACTCCAAACTTCACTTGGCTATTCCTCTTTTGTGAAGTTTCTTCTGACACCAAGACTTTTGAAAAAGATCTCCTGTCTCCCTCACCACACTGTGGTTCCTCTTGCTGACACCTACATTGCTGTAGGGCATGTTAGTGATTTACAAGTCGGTGCACCAGTAGGCAATGTGGGGAGAAAAGCTGGACACTCTAGAAGTCTTGGTGTCCGAAGAAACTTCACGTAGCCATTCCTCTTGTTTGGTGTGGTGTTGATCTGCATGGGCGGCAGTAGAGCCAAGTTTTTACAATGTTTTTATTACATGGTTAGGGCTAATTATAATGTAAAAATTGTTAAACATATTGGGGGGAATTTATTAAAACTGGAGCAGATTTTCACTGCAACCAATCAGCTTCTCTTTCATTTTCAAATCCATACTGAGCAAACTGAAGTGATATCTGATTGGTTGCCATGGGCAACTGCTCCAGTTCCTGCTTGCTACAGTTTTGATAAATTCCCCCCATTGATTTACCCCAGAGGAACCCCTAAAATTTTCAGGGGACGGAGAACTCCTTCTAAAATGTAGTCATTGGTGGTCTGGTGCAAATGCCCCTCTTACAATGCAGGTCATTGGGAAGAATGCCTCTTATGGTGGTGGTCGTCCGAATGTCTCCTTTTATAGTGAAAAAAGATAATTCCTGTCATACTGCCAAGTGGTATTAGACCTGGAACTATCTGGGCCCCAACAGATTGGAACCTCTAGCAACCTCTGCATGAACCCTGTTTAAGAATTACTGGTATGGAGGCACGTTGACCTAGAGTAAGCCTCTGTTTTAGACCCTTTGCTGGGTTTCCTGTGAATAGCTGCATTGGTTATTTGGGATCCATTTATTAGTGGACTTCAGCACCCAGTAGGTTATATTGGAGCACAGCAGGTCTGTGATAATGTGCCATTCTAACCCTGGTCAAAAGTAGCTGCAGGGTCGATAGTACTGTAAATGGATCATCACAACTGGACTATGTTGGGTTCTACATGCATTTGCAGTTTCTTCTGGTAATTTCATGTTTAATATAAAGGAAACCAGCAGTGTGGTCATGGCCTAAACCTATGATGCAATTAAAGTTGGCTTATTTGCACATTCATGAGTCTTAAATGTGCCTTTGATTTTTTATTTTTTTTTGTATAGGAAAGCAAGAAGGCGCCAACATGCAGATCTTCGTAAAAACCCTTACTGGGAAAACAATCACGCTAGAGGTAGAACCCAGCGACACTATTGAAAATGTTAAGGCCAAAATCCAGGACAAGGAAGGTAAGTAGCATGACTGATTAAGATTAACTTATGCAATGTTCACAGTTGTAGCTTTAGTCTTTAACCCCTTCATGACCAGTGACGTACACTGGCATCGGGGCCGTTTAAACAGAAAGCCCGACGCCCCCGCCGTGTTTCCCGGGCTCTGTTGCCCCTCCTACGGGCCCGGCTTCTCTGGTGGGTCGTCTATGGACTTTTTGGGGTACTGAATTTTTTTAGCCGTTTCACGGACGCGCACAATTTTTAACCTGGGCTTGTTGGGTATCTATTTACTCGCTGTAACCTCGTCTTTTACAATTTTTTTTTTTAAATGGGTATTTTTTTGTGTTTTGGGGCATTTAGGTGCATTTTTCACAAAATTTGGGGGTTTTAATAAGGAGTTGCGCTAATATCGTGCAACATAAAAAAATTGCAACTGCCACCTTTTTATTCTATAGGTTTTCGGCTTTCAGAAAATATATAATGTTGGGGGTTTTAAGTAATTTTCAGACCTAAAATGTGGATTATAACATGTAAATAAAAAAAGGCCTCAGTCATGAAGGGGTTAATATTCTGTAACGGTACTTTAAATTGCTCAGTAAAAGCATTTAGCTGTTTCGCTGTAGTTTTTACATTTAGGAAGGGGCTAATGCCCTTTAGCCCTCCTGCCTCTAGGCATATTTAATTACCAATTTTAACCATCTCGGTGATCCATGAGCAGCTTTTGCTCTCTCCCTTGAGCCTTGATTAGCTTCCACTCTGATTACTTTGTCACTAGTCCACAATTTACTCGTAGTCTCTCCCCAATCCACCCACCACCCCAGTCTATGCTGGCACCTGCTTTTGTTTTTTCCCAATAGTATATCAGCTGCTTCTTCTGCTCCAACTTAGTCTGCCTCTTCCAAGCCATAATATGATTTTCCTTCGCACTCGCACTGTACTATTCTCCAAGTAGTCCATTAGCAGCTTCCACTTTGACTCCACATCCTCTTCCATGATCAACTGCTTCTGACTTCTGCTCTTCCCTCTGATTTCACCTCTACCTAACCTAGTCGCATCTGTGTTCTCATGGTTTATGATCAGCTTTCTCCCCCACCCCGTGTCCATTTCTAAATTTTAACATAGCTGTAAATGTATTTCCGTGTGGGCTCTAAGCTTTAGATCATTAAATGGCCTTTTTACATTTTGTAGTGACATGTTTGCATTACAACATTGTAGATGTCCCTGTGTACATAGGTGAGGAAGAGATGTTCAAATTGGATTTGTGTTAATTTTTCAGGTATTCCTCCTGACCAGCAGCGTCTGATCTTTGCTGGCAAACAGCTTGAAGATGGACGTACGCTGTCGGACTACAATATCCAGAAGGGTGAGAACAAATTTTATACTGGCCTATGTTTTATGTTTATCACAACTTACCGCTGATCACAATGTTTCGACATTTTAGAGTCAACCTTGCATTTGGTGTTGCGTCTTCGTGGTGGTATCATTGAGCCTTCCCTAAGGCAGCTTGCCCAGAAGTACAACTGTGACAAGATGATTTGCCGCAAGTAAGTTCAGTTTTCTAGACTGATTCATTGAATTTGGATTAAAGTGCATTACTAAAGAATACATATTTGTTGAACACTGCAAATAAAGATTGTAATGTTTATAACTTATTAAAACTATTTCGGCACAATAAACGGCTGGAATATTATGCACACCTTTCTCATGTAATTTTTTAAAACCAAGATGTGTAGCAGTTGATGAAGTAGAAATGGCTATATGAAATTCAGTTTGTTATGCAGGTCATGCTGCTGCCTAAGCCCTGCTCTAGTTAGCAGGACAAAAAAAATGAATCTTGCTGTGGGGCTTTCCTACCTTCAATGGTTAGATGCTGAATAGACTAGTGTCAGAAGAATAAACTGTAATAGTCACATCACTCCTCTCCCTGGCATGTTTCAACCACACTGTGTGACCGGTCCCTGAAGCTGCTTCTCTTAGCTGCTTCACTGGTCGGAGGATTTCTAATATCTGAAACCGCCGTTAACCTGTCTGAAGGTTTTGTCTGCATGGATAACTGACTTTGGCTCATTGACCGGAACCAATGTATGAAGGCTGTGAGGACAGAACTGCAGATCAGCATACTTGTTCTGGGTCAGTGTATCACAAAGTAGTTGTTGGATCAGCATGACAAAGAAGTAAGGCTCCATTCACACCTGCATGTTTGTAATGCAGCACGTTTTTCAAGGTCGTATGCTTGGACAAAAAAACGTGCAATTTTTAATTGATGCTTGTTTTTCTGCGTGTTTGCGGCTACAACCACAGTCAGCACGCGTATAAATCACCCAGAAAATGGTGCATTTACTTTTAGCATTCAATATTGCTATACAAACGCGCAAGTGTGAAGGAGCCCCATAAGAATGTATTGTTTTTTGTGTTCTGCGCGTTTCAGGTGTGAACCAGGCATAAACAATGGCAGTATACATCTGTACAGCTGTCATGTAATATTTACATTTGTTTGGCATTCACCTGTTTGTAAAGCATAAGAGAAGTCTTGTATATCGCCTTTTTTTTTAGAGATATGGCTATTTTATGTTATTGTTTAAAAAGGGTCTCAAATTCTTAAATGCATCCTGCACTAACCCTACTACACAGTATTACATAAACCTGTCAACTGCTGAGGTAGAAAATATATGGCATTTTTAATTTATTACAGGTATTTGGAAAAGTATGGGCAAACTTTTTTTTTTCTTTGGGTAACAGGAGTACACTGACCCATGTATTCCTGTGACCCAAAGTCATTACAGAGCAGGCTTATGCCCACTATGCCTTGCTCTTCTTTCACAAATATTTAGTAGTCTCATATACAAACAGGCATTGGGGAGCACATTGATGGTAGTAGTAAGTATGCACTACTAGTTGTTCCTGCCAACTATTGAACCTGATATGTTTTTATTTTAGATGCTATGCAAGGCTCCATCCTCGTGCTGTAAACTGTCGCAAGAAGAAGTGCGGACACACAAACAACCTGCGTCCCAAGAAGAAGCTCAAATAAACAATTTATCAACTACTATTGTTTTTTGAGAAATAAAAACATTACAGGAATTTCAAAGGCTCTTTTTTTGTTTATTAAACTGTTAGTAGAATGAACAAACCTAATTTGTGAGGCTTGGAAGGGTATGCACAGCAATGAATGGATTATTAATGGAAATGGGCTTATTCTGGATACAAGTACTGTGCTTATCTTTTAAACGTTGAGAATTAAGGAGAAGATGATGCGCTATAGAACTGTGGTTGATTG